CATTGAATAATAAAAATTCTATGAAGGTTAAATTATAAATTTATCCTTAAATTATTTTAGATTTACAAAAAAAAGTCTATAATTAAAATTTTATATGAAGTTCAGGGGTTAAAAAAATTTACTCTTTCATTAAACCTTTTTTATATTTTTAATTTTGTAAAAAAAATTATATAAATATTATGAATTTAATTTTTTAAAGAAAATATATAAATATTTTACAATTTGAAATATTATACAAATATATAATAAGGACAATTTGGTCAAATATACATTCTAATAATCTTTTATTCCTTTAACCAAACACGGTAATCTTACATTCCTGCTAAACCAACCAAACACAAAATATAACATTCCAAGTAATCCTATTCCCTGGTAATCTTTTATTCCTACTGTTAATCTTACATTCCGTGAACCAAACAAACCGCATTCGTTTCTATGCATTAATTATAAAGTATCTTCTTAAAATCCCTTCTAAATAGTGTTATTTTATTTTTATTTTCTAAAATATAGGAGAGTTGAGAAATTAATTCTCAAAATGTTATTTTTTCACATATTAAATGATTGAGATATTTATAACCATCGAGATTCTTGTAAACATGTTATCAAACTTCAACATTTATGGATACCGAAAATTCTTTATTAATTGGTGGAAAAATTAATTAAGTTAAATAAATTAATAATAAGAAAAAATTTTCTTAAATCAAATAATAATATATATAATTATCTGATTAGATAATTATATTTTTAATTATTTTTTATTCAAAATTAATTTAGTAGAATATATAAGTAGTAAAGATTAAATACATGATTATATTAATTTTTAATCTTAATCAAATATTAATAAAAATTAATTTAATTGACAAAATTAATAAATAAATAAATAGTTAAGATAAAACTTCATTAGTAGAAAAGCAAAAACAATCAGCATTTTCAATTGAGCTCAACTTAAAATGTTAATTTTTTTATTAGTATTTTTGATTGAACTGAAAATGCTAAAAACGAAAGTAGCATTATGTTAAAAAAAATTAACATTTCAAGTTGAGACAATAAAAAAGTATTATGTTTTTTTAAAATATTTTCGGTTACGTCAATTCCATGTAGTTCCTTATACGTAAATTAGATTCTCATCCCTTAGACTTTCCAAAGACAAGGAGACCTATTAATTGATCGAATGATAAAAAAAATACTTATCTCATTTTGTTTGAGTTGGACTAGGAGTTGACACATGATTTAATGTTAAGAGATGAACTTATAAAATTTTAAGAACGAACGGATTTATAAAACTTCAAGAGCTAAACACATATATTGAATAGAAAATACAAAAAATATAGAATATATAAAAATTTAAAATTTTCAAGGAACAAGTACCTCATTTATCCTCTACGATTCATTCCTAAATTTAATTTTCAGTATTTACCTTATAAATATAATACATGTATTAATTAAAAAAAAGGAAGGAAGAATAGCAATTAACTGATTTGATTTCAAATCATAGTCATTGGAGACTAGAACCTTCCTCTTTCCCACTATCTTAAGGTATTTATATCTAAAATCTACGAAATTATTTTGTGATCTCGGTTCATCACGTTATATATAAATTTATTTAATTAAAGTTATAAATTTTAAAATAATTTTTAAAAAATTACTTACCTTTTATTTACAGGCTCATGTAAAATTTCACCTTAAAAAAATAGATAAAAAGTTATTTTTTAATTGTGATCACAGTGAGTCGGGACTATTTAAATTTTTTTCCTAAAAAAAGAGTCCTTTTAGTTTTGCTTGCATCATTCCACACGTCAGTTCCACAGGCCTCCTTTTTTGCTGTCAATAAAGCAGCGTAGTCCTCTTCAACATTATTATGCATTCGAACTTCTCTATCTACTTCATTTTCTTCCGATACTAAAAGATGTTCATTTTCACATTATATTCTAAATTGAAAATTGAATTAATTATTATATCATCCTACGTCGCATCTCTTATAAACGTAGAAGGTATATGAAAAATTAATTTTAATGTGTGAATTGGAAATATATCGGTATCTATAAAAAATTATTTTTCAAATTTGATAATTAAAACTTTTAAATTGACATTAAAAAAAACTTCTCATGTAAAAATATAAGAGTGTTTCAATGATAAATACATATTTTTATTTGAGTAGTTGAAAAAAAAGTACTCAAATTTTTATAAAAAAAATATTCACTCAAATTAAGCGTAAAAGCAAGGAGAAAAAAATTTAAAATTGTAAAAGAAAGAGTGAAATATCAAATTGTCTCGCGATAAAATGAAGAATATATGAAGATTTTGAATTAAAATAAACAAGTGAATAAATCTAGACTAATCAATTAGAGAGAAATTATCAAGGCTAGTAGATTTTTTTATTATATTTTATTTTTTTAATATTGATTACTTTTAAATATTTCTTTCGAAAAATTACTTATGACATCATCATTTGCATGTAATATAGAATTATGTTTCCACAATATAGAGTGAATAGATTAAAGTTTAGATAGTAAATTGGGTGTAAAAATTATTTATGTAACAAGAGACAGTATTTATCTTAAATATCAACATGAAAGCGAAAATATTTTAAGTACCAACTTAAGAAAAAAGTGTTTAATTTGAATATCAAATAAATATATAATTAAACTAAAATAAATGATTAATTTTACTCTAATGAGTGAAATATAATAAGCATTTTTCAATTAACTTTATCACCTTTATATATAAGATTGCATAACCGTGCATGGAAGAGTTACCTTTTTTTTATTAAATGGACGAGTTATTGTTTTGGGTAAATTACATATTTAGTATATAAAATATCAGTTTTGGTCTATTTTAGTATCTAAACTTTTAATTTTTTTTCAAAACCATATTAGTTTTCTAAAACTGATAGTTTAAGTACTAAACGTGTTAAGTTTTTAATGATGGGTACTAAAATGAAATAAAAATTAAGCATTAGACATGATTTTAAAAAATTAAAAGATTAAGTACAACAACAAACAAAAACTGATATTTTATATATTAAATACGTAGTTTACCTTCTTTTAGAGGAAAATGGACGAGTTACTTGATTCTATATATAGGTGACAAAAATGAAAGCGAGCCTAAATATTTAACCTAAAAATTGAATCTCAAACATAAACCTAAAAAATTCAAACTTAAGATGAATATGAATCCGAATTTATTATTAAAATTTTTAGGATGTTAGTTTTTCGGTTTTAATTGAATTAACCGATTGGATAGAATTAGTTTGGTTTATTCGATCTGTCATCAAATTAGTTTTGTTGGGAAACGGTTAATTTTTTTCAATATTTGGTTAACAGTTAATTTGTTTCTAAATTAGTTTATTAATCGAACAAACCAAAATAACTAAAATTATATATATATATATATATATATATTAAGGTCAAATCTATTAAAAGTTAAGACCTAATTATTTTTTAACCATACTAAACTCATTAAATTATCAATACCTAATTAAACTTTAATCCAAATAAAAAAATCTCTATTGTATTCAAATTAATCTAATTAAAAAATATAAAAAAGTTTCCGTTATATTCAGTTAACCAGCCGAAATAACCGAACTTTATTTGGTTTGGTTAATATTTTCAAAAAAAGTTCGGTTAATAGAAATATGGTTCAATCAATGATCGAATTAACTGTTTGAACACCTCAAAAATAATTTAAAATAAAATTTAATATTTTTTATAACATATTTAACTACTAATTTTGTTTAGAATTAAAAAGGATAATTAAATTGAATTTATTATTTTCTAATTTAGATATTATTTTTATTTTAATTCTAAAAGATGAAATATTATATATTTATAGACGAATATATTAAGCATTAATAGATAAAAATGTTATACATTAATGTACGAGAATATTATGCATTAATTGTACATTGATTCTCGAATATTAGATGCTCTATTTTTCAAACTTTCTAATAATTTTTCAGTGTGAATCTCTATTTAAATCTTGTAAACTTACAAGGTTAGACATACAATTATCAATATTTTCTCTACTTCCAAGCGTTTTCAGTGATAAAAAAAGATGAGATAAATCTTAATTTTGGTGTTGTATTTTATGAGACAGTCGATCAACTCTACAACAACGTAGGAGTGGTAGAATCTTTCTTAAAGAAATTATATAAACAAGCTCTAACAACTTTATTCATTCGATTCTGTAACATCGACGGGTAAATAATCTCTTGTCTCATCTTATTTTTTATTCCATTCAATTATAGTTTCTATAGATTATTGTTGCAACTTTATTTCTCGGATCCTAACTTTGTCTAACAAGATATTTGTGAAACTTAACTGAAACATCAAAAAAAAAAAAAGTAAGAAGATGAACGGAAAAGATCGATAGATTAAGAAGATAATCTAGACTTTTGAAATTAATTCCAAATTTAAATATTAAAATTAGGATTTAGTTTATCTAATTTTAAAATTGATGTGAATTTATGAATGTTTATTTTTCAAAAGGAGACCAAATTTTAGTTATTTAATCATAAAGTTAATAAAAACTTAAAAATATTTAAACCAAATAATAGAAAGATTATAAGATAACCTACTAAACTTGGGGGACATGGTCCCAAGGTAACTCGCCACTGCTAATGCTAATGGTTAATAAATTCATGATATTTTATATGAGGAAAATATATTTTTAATAAAAAAATTAAAATTTTCAAATAATTATCCGTCTTCGTAGATCTCTTAATCTATTTTATACACAAATGAAATCTATTAATTGATAAATGATGTATTTGATTATTATTTAGAATATTGTAGGTAGAAGAAAAATCTGACAAAATTATCTTACCATTACACCCCAATACTCAACAATAAACTAACAAAAAAAAAAATGGTGACAAAAGCCAAACATGTTTCTGATTGTCTTCTCCATATGCCACGTCTGTATTTAACATTTTGCATATTTTACAGTAAATCATTATCCTCTGGTGGACACCTTTCTCAACAGGCTCTATAAATAAGTTCCTGGGAGCATCATTCATTTCAGATAAGATGGAAAGAATGGAAGACAATGATCCTAAAGAAAACAATGTTGGGAGCCCCAAGGGAGGGTTGATCACCATGCCCTTCATTTTTGGTATGTCAATTAATTCTGTACGTGTATTTACACAATTACACACACATTCTGTATGTGTTGATTTGTGTTCGTTTTTATGCAGCGAATGAGATCTGTGAGAAGTTGGCTGTGGTAGGATTTAGTACTAATATGTTAAGCTACTTAACAACACAGCTTCACATGCCATTAACCAAAGCAGCCAACACTCTCACAAACTTTGGTGGAACTGCAAGCTTGACACCGCTGCTAGGAGCCTTCATGGCCGACGCATACGCCGGTCGGTTCTGGACTATAACGGTTGCTTCGATCATATACCAAATAGTAAGACTCGGGTTCATAAAGAGAGGTGTTTTCTAGGATTGAGTTGTTAAGCTAGGTTTCCTTTTGTTACAGGGGATGACATCTTTGACAGTATCAGCAATACTTCCACAACTTAGGCCACCACCATGTAAAGGTGAGCAAGTGTGCCAACAAGCAACGGCAGGACAATTGGGAATCCTCTACGGATCTCTCTTACTGGGAGCCTTGGGATCGGGTGGAATCCGACCTTGTGTGGTTGCATTCGGGGCGGACCAGTTCGACGAAACGGACCCGAAGCAATCAACAAAGACATGGAAGTACTTCAATTGGTACTACTTCGTGATGGGGGCATCAATGCTGTTGGCTGTGACGGTGCCTGTTTACATTCAGGATAATATTGGGTGGGGATTGGGGATTGGAATTCCCACCATCGCCATGTTTCTGTCAATCATTACTTTCGTCGTCGGCTATCGGCTTTACCGACACATGGATCCAGCAGGGAGCCCATTTACTCGGTTGTTACAGGTCTGTGTGTCGGCTTTCAGGAAGAGGAAGTTGGCCATGGTTTCTGATCCCAACTTGTTGTACATGAATGAAGAGCTTGACGCCTCAATTTCTATAGGTGGAAAACTTATTCACACTCAACAAATGACGTAAGTTGTTCCAAACTAGATAAGATTACATTTCATGGATTTCATTGCAAGTGGTTATCTTCGAAATATGCATTGAACGGCTCAATAACTTGTGAATCGTACAATAATTGGCAGAAGAGGGACCACCACAAGCTCAGATCTTATTCACACCGCATAATTGCATAATTGAAACAAAAGCCAATTTTTCTTGTGTTTGCAGATTCCTTGACAAGGCAGCCATTGTAACCGAAGAAGATATGGTAAAACCCGGGAAAGCTCCTAATCTATGGAGACTAAACACTGTCCATCGAGTGGAGGAACTGAAATCAGTGATCCGAATGGGACCGATATGGGCGGCAGGAATCCTTCTCATCACAGCCTATGCTCAGCAGAGCACATTCTCCCTCCAACAGGCCAAAACCATGGACAGGCACCTCACCAAGTCATTTGAGATCCCTGCTGGTTCCATGACTGTCTTCACCATGGTCTCAATGCTCTGCACCATAGCCTTTTACGACCGCGTTTTAGTCCGTATTTGTCGAAGATACACAGGGCTTGACCGGGGTATCACCTTCTTGCACCGGATGGGAATCGGGTTTGTGATTTCAATATTTGCCACTCTGGTAGCAGGCTTCATTGAAGTGAAGCGTAAAGAAGCAGCTCTAGCACATGGGCTTCAAGACAAGGCTAAGGCAATCATTCCAATTTCAGTGGTGTGGCTTGTGCCTCAGTACAGTCTTCATGGAGTAGCCGAGGCATTCATATCTATCGGGCACTTGGAATTCTTCTATGATCAGTCACCCGAAAGTATGAGGAGCACTGCCACCGCACTGTTTTGGACGGCGATTTCAATCGGAAATTATGCGAGCACGATGCTGGTTTCTTTAGTACACAAATTCAGTGCTGGAGCTGATGGATCGAATTGGCTTCCGGATAACAACTTGAACAAGGGGAAATTGGAGTATTTTTACTGGTTGATCACTGTCTTGCAAGTGGCTAATCTTGTTTACTACATCTGTTGCGCTAAGCTGTATACTTATAAGCCGATTCAAATCCATAACAAAGACAACGAATCTGAGGAAGATGGAGTGGAGCTTGGAAGCAAGGTTTAGTTTTGAATCTGAATTGTTGGCATGTAAAGTTCTAAATAATATTAGTAAAACCAAACCAGACACTAGGTCTAGTCTAGTATTACATTTTATAGCAGACCAAAAATAAAACTTGAGAAACTAGTTTCTATTTCTCTTTGTCAAATTTCAGCTTTATTTTTCAGTTTGTACCACACTAATATATGGAAGAGTACACAGACAGCCAAGACAAGCAAACAACATAACAGAAAATAAGTGTGTGATTGAGATACATAACCAACCACGATTAATGCAATGTGTACAGGACATCCAGTGCTGGCCATATTTGCATAGTCTGCGCGAATCCACTTATTTTCAACTCAATCCTATAATATTTTAGGCTTAATACCAAAATAAGTGCGCAAACTATACCCATTTTTCCAAATAGGTTCCTAAACTAATATTTGTCTCATCTAGGTGTCTAACGTTACAAACGTTACCCATTTAGGTGCTTGGCCCGGTAACGTTGTTAATTTTCCCTTTTATGAAACGTGTCACAACCTGGTAATTTTAAAAAAATTATTTAAAATTAAAAAAAATTAAAATTATATATATTTTTAAAAACATAAAACACAAATTTTAAAATAAACTCAAAACTTTGAAAACCTTCATTTCAACCACTAAACCCATATCAACCGCCGCCTTTTGCCGTTGACGAAGCTCCACCCAACCTCCCCTTCCCCCGACGACTAAAACCCCATGAAATTGTGACCGATCGACGACGAATCAACGTTTTAAACCGTTTGAACCCTATGATTAAAATCGCGATTCCACGCGATTCTGACGGCCAATTGACGGAAAATACGACGGTTTATGAGTAGGAGGATGACAGGGATTACGTCTGTTGCGGTGGTCATGGTCGGAAAGTGGCGGATTAAGGTTAGGATTTAGGACTTTTGGGCTGTTTTATAATATAAGAAAAATTAGCTTTTTTTATAAATATCATAATATTTGTAATATTTTATTAAAAAAAATAAATTTCAAAATCTGTAGATTGTGACACGTGTCACTTAATGGGGAAATTAACGACGTTGATGGCATGGGCACCAAAACGGGTAACGGTTGTAATATTAGGCATCTGGATGAGACGAAAATTAATTTAGGCACCTATTTGAGAAGAGTGGTATAGTTTAGACATTTATTTTGGTATTAATCCTAATCTTAATCCAATTCATCCTAATTTGACAATAAAAAATCAACAATCTAAGTCAAAATCGAAAATGACTTGAATTCTAAATAAACTGAACAAATAAGTAATAACTAAAATCTTCTAAACTTTTTATTTTTATTTTTGATGGTTAAAATCTTCTAAACGATGACTGCAACGTCCCAAATTTCAGAGTTAAAGTTTACATTTTAAGATGAGATTTTCACTGTATCAAAATGCGATGACTTCAATCCTTTAATTTATTTAAATATACTCATGTAGAGGAGTGTGAATGCGTTCTCGATGATTAAGAATATATATTATCTTAATCACCTCAGATTATATATATATATATATATATGCAATGAGTATATATATATATATATACATGCAATGAGGGGTTATACACTACAGCAAAAGTGGCTTGTTACGGTGTTTTTTTTACTTATAGCGGTGTTTTTAAGCGCCGCTAAAAATACCTGCGGCGTAAAGACAAACGCCGTTAAAAGCGCCGCTAAAGTTTGTGGCGTTTTTCAACAAAAAAATGCCGCAATAGGTGACAACATATTTAGCGGTGTTTTGCAGAAAAACGCCGCAATAGGTGTTGATATTTAACGGCATTTGGCAGACAAACGCCGCAATAGGCGTTGATGTTTAGCGGCGTTTTCTTCACAAACGCCGCAGTAGATGTTTATTTTTACCGGCATTTTTCCTACAAACACCGCAGAAGATGTTGATATTTAGCGATGTTTTCCTACAAACGCCGCAGAATATGTCTTGAGATTTAGCGGCATTTTCGTCGAAAACGCCGCAATATGTCTTGAGATTTTGTGGCGTTTTTATCACAAACGCCGCTAAATGTATGGTATATTTCAGCATTTTTTGTTACAAACGCCACTAAATAACACAGAATTTAACAGCTCTAAAAATTATGCTTAATACCCCAAATCTATTTTTTCAACCTGTTCCATTATCCAACAAACAAAACAACAATAACATCAAATCTAATATAATAAATAAAAGTTTTCATTAACGTAATATAAGTTAAGTTAAACAAGATTCAGTAACATTAACATAATGCTCATAACATAAATGAGGCTACGATGGTGGATTCTGAGGTTGCGTTTTTTGTATCATCAGCATCATATCATTGAGTCGTTTTTCAAATTCTTTACATCTCTACTGATATATTACTTCTCTCTGTTCTGCCGCTGCCTCTCTCTGTACTGCCACTGCTTCTCTCTTTGCTTCCGCTGCTGCTCTAGCTGCTTCCACTGCTGCTTCCATTGCTTCATTTTCCGCTTTCAAGTTAGCCATTTGTTGATCAATCTCAGCCAACTTTTCTTTTAAACGACCAACTTCTAATTGGGAAGATCGAGATTGTGATGACATGTACTGTGATGAACTGGATCCAAAATATTTGGTGGGAGTAACGAATGATCCTTGACAGCGCACCCGACCATATCTTTCAGGACCCAAAACGTCATTAATAGCTTGGTTTTCAATGTCATCATCATTAACAATACATTGACTCGAAGCAGTAGCATGATACTCTGCCCTTTTCTCCCTCAATTTTTCCTAATAATAAAGTGAATAATTAATTAAAATAAAAAATATCATGGTACAAATATAAATAAAGTCAGGTAAATTTAAAACATCTACCCAATAAACGTACCATAATTTATGCAGCGTCAGCAGTCATAGGAGTGCCATCATTCTTCGTATGTGTCATGTCGAAGAGTTGGATTCGACCAACTTTAGAACCGGATGTATTTTCCTACAATGTACCATAATGTAATTACTATGAGTTAGTATGTACATGGAATACAAAAAAACTATTTCAATAATCTATAATACCACCTCATGAGCTATACAAGCAAAGCTCTTCGATCCAGCCGTGTGCGTAAACTTTTGTGGTTGCCTGCTAGCAACACTAACATGCTCTCGGTCCTACAATGTCAAACAACCACTTATAATGATGATTTAAATTTTGTTACAAGTATTTATGAAAAATACATCATACCTGTCCTTTTTGAGAACTCCAAAATCTGACTGCATCTTCCCATTGGTACCTGAGCATTCCTGGTGGGACTGTTTGCAACTTCTCTTCAAGGCTGAGATCATTCTTGAAGTATTTCTTCTTTAAGGAGCTCTTGTGGTCCCTTCATCTCTTCCCTAATGCTTGCTTCACATAATCGTCAGAGACCTCTAAAACAAATTTCTCCTATACAGCAAATAAGTGTGCACCGTAAGTATAAATTAGTATTGAATTTATATAGAGTATCTATTATAATGACATTATTACCTTAACAAAATCCAACGCTTGATTTTTGTTACTATTAGGCATTTTGCGCCATGACTCATAATTGATCGGTAACAGATTCGCATTACGTCCAACTATGCCTAAGTAACCTGCTAGAAGACGTGATTCTGGGCCAATAGGTTGACCGGCATCGTTTCTTGAAACTTTGACACGATGCCCATGAGGAAGTTGGTATAATTCCTTTAAAGTTGTACGTCCTCGAGTCTTGCACGTTCCAGCATTTTCAACTATATAAGAAATTATTAAATGTCAGTTTTGAAAATGAACAAAGTAGTAAATAAAGTTTCGAAGATTACCTTGAATTTCTACTTCTTCAACAGTTTCAGGAACTTCGGAAGACTCAGGTGCATTCGTTTCCTCGTTATTTCTTTCTTCATGGTCTTCAGAAGCTCGAACAACCCGCAAATCAGATATTTTTCTCCTCGGTATTATATCTGTAATAAACAAACATGAGTAATAAAAAATGATTTAATTAATGAATACATTGAAAGACAACATGTTAAGGGTTATAACATTATAAATAAATAAATGAAGATATAAAATCGTACAACAGTCTTATGTAATGTCAGTTGTCATAAATATCTTCATCAACGTCCTCCCGAACCCATTGAAATTGTGTTGTATTACTGATAGTTTCATCTAAGTTTTGTGGTAGTAAAGGTAAACACTCTGATCTTATTTCAATGTCATCTCTACTTCCATCCCCGATGTCTATCAAGTCTCTGGGAGTATTTCGAAGCACAACATACCAACCGTCATCTATTGGATCGTGACAATAAAATACTTGTTTCACTTGAGAGGAAAATACATATGGTTCATCCATCAAACGTTGACCCGTGTGAATTAATCGAGATAAATTCACCATTGAAAACCTGAATTTTCTTTTTATACATCTGTTTACATCAACCCAGTCACACCGAAATAACACAACCTTTCGTTTTCTATAATAATCTAACTCAATAATGTCCGTAAGATTTCCATAATAATCGACCTCTCCATCCTGCGAATTATTATCCCTTACAGTAGCATAACTTGTAGTTGATGAAGTAACTACGACTCCACAATTTTGTGTCCTCCTTAATCTTTCACGAGATTTCATGTGAAGCCTGAACCCATTAATGAGGAAGGCATTATATCTTTTAACTATTCTATTCGGACCTTGAGAAAGCCATTTAAATTCTTCACTAACTTCTCTCCCACTCTAAACCTATTACACATGAATAATGAATTAATTTGCATTGATGTCGATATAAAAAGCAAGACATATATTATTTATAAGTGTTCCGTAAGATTTAGTTGCTTACCGTCTGGCCTAACCATTCATGAAAAGTTTCTGTGAATAACTTATGTAGCTCTCGCTGATTTAATCTTCGGGAGCGTGCTCGAGATCTCAATATTTCTTTAAACTCACTATAAAGAATATTATGTCGTTAAAAATTGATAAATATAAAAGAGAAAGAGATTTCATTAGGATTGGGTCCGAAAGACTTACGTGCGAAAGTGATCTATTGAATCGTGATGGAAAAGAACATATCAGTGTGCTTGTACCCAAGACGTGTCATCTAAATATGCAATTTCAACTTTCCCTAATGGTTGACCATAACTTCCAAACAAATAATGTTGAGTTAAGTCATCAGTACCTAACTCATCATTTCGA